ATTAAGTTAATGTTTACAATTTGACAGTCAAAAGTATAATAAACAAATAAACAACTTTTAAGTTTAACAAAAGAACCGAAAATATTAAATATTAAATTTTTCTCCGCATCTAAAAGTTTAAAATTTACTTTTTTAGCACGAAAAGTTCGAGCGCCACTGCATTAGTATACCCACAATATCATGCAACCGGTTCCTGCACCATTTCTACACAACAGCCAACCGACCAAAATGTAAAATGTTGCAAGATGAAAGTTTGAGCGCATTTCTACTAACAAAATGCTCAAACAAAATTTCACCGCATACATGTTGCCACTGCATGTTGCAACTGTTAATGCATGCAACTGCTATACAGTTGCATTAGCAACATGTTGTTGCAACTACAGTGCAGATTTTTGTCGCATGCGACAGATTTTAACTGTTGAATGACACCTGCGCTCCAAAGAGAGTGCTGCGTCAACAGAGGCAGCGCCATTGGCAGCGACGTTGGCAGTCATAGTAGCAGCGCTGAAATCAACCCTTAGCGAGTGGTCATATAGTAGTGAGTAAATATGGTAGCGTAAAAGCATTTGAAGAGAAAATAAATTATTGTATCGAGTAAGTTCGAATGATAGAGATGGGTAAAAAAAATAGTTTATATAGACATTAAAAAATAAATTTTTTATGAAGATTATGTTTCATGATTAAATTTCTAACAAAGGATCGCAATTTTCATCCTCCTGCTTTACTTAAGAAATTACGAAAAGGACCTAGCAACCCAGATTAGACCTGAAGAATAGAAGAGCATCGATATTCTCGATACAAATAATAGAAAAATCTTCAGACAGTTAAAGGACCGATAGATATCAGCCAAGAAATGGCTACAGAGAATAATGTACAATTAGGTTCGACTCCAATTTAACTGTGAATATGTCTTAGGCAGATACCTAATGCATGGAGCTTAAACATACCGCGTTAAACCGTTGAAGATTATCTTATCTTATCTTATCTTATGGATCGATATAAAAAGTTCAACTACGGAAGCCGAATTTGCAATTCCTCTATGTTCGTTCATATTTAATGCAAAACCTGAAAGGACTGATCCGCTGTTACTTAACCAGCCTGCAACGGAAGTGCTTCTTAGCGTAGCTCGGTCACGCATATATTCAAAACACCTTAGGCTCCATGTCTATAAAAATTATAAAATTTCGAAAATTAAACTTCTGCTCCATATATAACGCAATAGTATGTGTTGTAAAATGTCAGAGTTTTTCTATTCATTCATTACAATTATACATTGCCCGTGGCAGTATCCTTTCGATTTCGGTACACAAAAGTCATGTAAACTTTTCCACAGACGTTCTTTCCACACCCAGCTCAAATCTTTATCTGACTTCATAATTTTCTATTAACAACGAAATGCCACTGCAGTTGCTGATATCATAATTTCTACAACCACTTACGATTTCCTTCTACACCACCACTACCAACACCAACACCCAGCCCATTCTAATCATCGTTGCAGATGCAAATTCAAACAAGATGTAGCGAAATATGGTCTCATCCTCCCAGTGCCACGACGGTCTAACATAACAATTCCACAATGGGCCACACACAAGAAAAAATGACTCAATTTGCAACATCAACCCCTTGAGGGCATGCAGTCAGCTAGTGAAACGCTCAACCAGTCAGCCAGTTACATACGTAGTTAGTTAGCGCAAGGGAGCAGCAGTCAGGAGAGCGTAAACTCGCCTACTACCTGCAAGTGGTATGCATAACAAAACAGGCAGCATGCAACATGCCACACGACCAGCTATATTCATATTACATGCATTTTCTTGCACAAATATTTATAGCACACCGCTTGCCACATGTGCCACACGAGCGCATAGTGCAGGAAACCTGCACTGACTTGAGGCCAACTGGCCGGCATAGCTGTGTGGCTGGTTGGCCAGTTGTTTGACGAAGTTTGTGGGTACATATGCCGGTTTGGCTTTGGTGAATAACGCGTGGCGTGTTTGTGTGCAAAAACAACTTAGTTGTGCATTTTAATATCAATTTGTTTTGCGTTGTTGTATTTGTTGTTAAAGCCGCATAATTTGTGCATGGCGAGCAGCAATAGTAACACAGAGGGTGTCCTAGCTAAATAGTAACAATGAATAAAGACGCATATGAAAACACCAAAACAGTTCGCTACTTTTTTCCTGCAGACGCTCCATAGCATTTACGCGCGCTTTGGCAAAATCCTACATCATAGCGCTATGGCGTTGGATGTCGCAGTGGTAGCAGCAGCACATTCCGTACGCGCTTATGGCAGTCGTAAAAATAAAATTGCCCTAAGCCGCTCTGCGGCAGCCACTCGAACTGTGGACAGCAACTCGCCGCCGTTTTTTTTTTGCCTTGCCTGCTACTTCTTTGCTGCATTTTTTTTTTTTTGTGATATTCCTATCAGTTTGCGTGAAAGCATTGCTCCAGTTTGCCACAGTCGTTCGGACGGCGAATAATGAGTTACGGCGCTGCGATCTCGAAACAGTGGCATACACAGAAAAGCGTCCCGTAGCGTCGTTGTGCTGCCTGGGTTGGCCACAGCCACTGCCGCCCAGCAACCAACTCCATTTCGCCACGTTGTTACTCCTTCTTTAATAACTGCTGAGTATTTGCAGTATAGTGTTCCACCGCTACTCATACTGACTTCTTACTATTGCCATCACTAGCTTAGTTTTACTCACATTTTTTATTTGTAACTCAAAGCTTTGTGGTTTCTTGCGCTTTGGTTTTTGGGTGGGTGCATTTATTTCATCGCTACCGTTGTTGTTGTCATTCATGATTTGTTTTTATTGGCATTTCATTTGCGGTTTTACGTTATGTTGCGAGTACGAGTATTGTGGCTGCGTTGAGCACGACGCCGCCGCCATCGATTGAGTGACGATGGTAGCGACTGCGGCTGAGTACAGTGTTGCATATAAGTATGTCATTTTTTAAATGGGAGAGTTTACTTTTAGACTTTTAATTTTTTATTAACGAATATGTTAATTTTATCCATACATGTTAAATTCCAATTAGAATTAGCAATTGATGCAATTGGTTTATATTCTCTAATTCATCAAACAATTAGAATTAGTTCAACTAATTTCCATTAGATAATTGAAATTTTTATTCCAATGGTAAACTAATTGCAATTAGTTGCCATTAGCAAAAAAAAATTGGTTTACCTTTACAATTAGGAATCTAATTGACTTCTGCTAATGCAATTAGATATTCAATTAGCTCGATAATAAAAAAAAAAAATTATTTATTCTAATTCGAGCTAATTGAATATCTAATTGCATTAGCAGAAGTCAATTAGATTTCTAATTGTAAAGGTAAACCAATTTTTTTGCTAATGGCAACTAATTGCAATTAGTTTTACCATTGGAATAAAAATTTCAATTATCTGTGCCACAAAGTGTAAAATGTGTGTGGCATTAAACGGTAGTGGTTTGGGAAAAATTTAAATTAATTTTAAAATTTTTTTCAGAGAGAGGACAGGGAGGAACGGTAAAACAGCAATGGAAACTGAACGACGGCTGCGTGCGTATTTTAAAGTCCCGCAAGCGGTTGATATTATGTATTCCTGAAAAGAAATTTATATCCAAGATGTTTGAACTTTAAAATCGAGAAATCTGGGCAGCTGTGAAGCAAACTGCGAGGCGATTCCAACTCATCAACTTGAGACCAACGACCATGAAGCCGAATTGGTCAACACCTCAACTAGTACCGAGAGTTGTGTTTCTTTTGCATTAGAAACTCCGTATAATAGCCGTGGTCAGGTCTTAGTCATCTTACATTCTAAAGCTCTCGTCCATCGCTTGCGCAGCTAACTAAACCCCTCCCTGCCCGGAATCAGAGCCAAATGAACGTCCAACCCCTTTGTTTGCCGTTAACTTTTCAAGAGTGTCCTGCGCGCTCGTCAGGTTTCGATATAACTGTGACTTAGGACACATACTAGCCTGACGCGATCATGGACGAAGGCATACATTTCTTCATTTTTATATCAACCTCACGTTACTTTTTTACGTATGCCATAAAAAAAACTTTTTTGGCAGCCGTCCTTGCCAAGTGTCACAGCTTCGGATAAATAAAAGAAACACGTTTTTACTAGTAGCGGTCACCCCCAGCAGGAAATGATTTTCCCTCTAGTTGTGGAACAAATACGCCAGATACTATTTATTATGTTTTATAGAGGAAAAGAAAGTTAAAGGCAAGTCAATTTTCTATAAAAATGCGACGATCGAAGATTTCTTTCCACTTACGTTATTTTTTCAAATATTGTTAAAAAGTTTGGAAGCGTTTTTTTTTTTAGTCAGTCTTTGTATTCTGTAATTTTATGTATTTATGTAATTTTATGTAATTTTATTTCCTTACGAAGAACCAATATACATTTCTAACTCGACAATAAACAAACTGCTGGCACTGTGTCAGCGCATCAATGCTGCTTTTAGCGAAACTGTTTTCAGCATTACCACATTACTACAACAGCGACGACGACGACGACACCAGCGACAAGTTGTCTAGCCCTTCAGTAGCTGCTGTTATTAGCTTACGTCGTCGCTGTCTACGTCGAACCATTTCTGCGCGCGACGCGGTTGGCGTAAACGTAGCCATGCCACCGCTGCATTGCTTGCTGCTGCTGCCGCTACTGCCATTGCCACTCGTGTTTGCACTGCCTATGGCTCGCATTGCGACTGCGTTGCTCCACACGCCACACAGACGCGCCTCGCTGCTATATGATTATGCTGCCCGTCGTTGGCGGTGGTGTTAGGCCAGGCCAGGGCCAAGCAATTGGTTGACTTCGATTGACTACACGTTGTGCGCTTTTCGCCTGCGCTTCAGTTTCACATCGCATTTAGTTGGGTTCACACACTCCGAATAATTTGTGGAACACCGCTGGCGTTGTTCAACAACAACCATCGGCACCGTCACCGTCACCGTCACCATTACCACCACAACCACTACCGCGTTGCCACCGTCGAAGAACGTATGTATGTATGTAATATGAACGTAGCACGGCAAATAAGTGAATGCGAGTGCGATTTTGCTAGTGCGAGTAGTATTATGACTGCCACAGCGCGAATGTGGAAGCACCGTCAGCGTAGCACTAGCACCGTGGCACCTCAATCGACAACATAGTCCGGAATTGCCGTGAGCCGTGTATCGTCGTCGGAGTCGTCGTAATCGCCGTAGTCGGGCCTGTGACAGGCAAGAAATATCAAATAAGCAAACAAGTCAATAAATTAAAAAATAAATACATATAACCACATATAAATACAAAAACAAAAACACTTGGGCGAGAAAAAAACAAAACGAAAGAAAAGTGCGCGAGGAAAAAGTGAGCGACAACGGATAGAAAAGATAATGAAAAGGAATGCAAAGCGTAGTGTGCATACAATGTGGACTGAAGTGAAGTGAAGAAGCGTGCCGGCTGAAGGAAGCATAAGTCGCGCGGCAAAATGGTTAAACTATTATTAAGGTGAATGTGCCACAAAGTTAGTAAATCGAAATTGTATGCTATTATTTATATTGTTATTATTTGCTTTGAAATATGTTTAAATTGTGAGGGGGTTTGACTATTTAAAACAGATATTTTTTGTGTTAGTTTTTTGAAAGCTTGTGAAAGTGAAGAGATGGCAAGTTCAATGGCATGTACACTTTGAAATATATTTACATAAGTGAGGACTTCAATGATTTTTGAAAATAAGGAAGTTTTTGTGCCGATTTTTTTTAAATTGAATTTAATTAATAAAAAAGTTACATTCCTATTTGCAAAAGATCAACTGGAATAGTTGAAAAAAAATATTAGGTGTATTTTCCCTTACACTGGATAAAAAAATAAATAATAATAAAATACTTTCGTGGTTTAGCTTTTCATCTTAACAAGTTTAGGGGGGATGCCTACATACATACATACACATATATTTTCTTTTGCCTTTTAATTTTTCAAAATTTTCAGTTTTTTAATTTCAATTGTTGTTTTGAAATCTGACTAAGGTTCTAATTTTATAAAAATTAAAAAGCAATTAGAGCATTTAAAAATATTATTTTTTTTTTTAATTAAAAAAACCCGAATTCATTAATTCATTAATATTTTCAATAATGTTTTCTTTAATCTTTTATTTAAAAAACTATGAGGCAAACATAAGTAGTTTAGGTTGGGTCTTAGTGGCTGTCCTCATCCATATTCTGATGGAGACACAATTAGATCCGCAATAATATATCGATGTCCACCGTGCTCTCACAAGAAGAACGAATAAACTTTATTTATAAAGTGTTAAACAGTTAAAAGACTTCTTCCAAGTTTAAGTATAAAAGACGGTCGGAGAAGATAACGTTGAGTTCTGGAGTTCCCGGCTAGCCGCAACTGGGCTACACCTGAAATGCTACGCGACAGGTTAGTTATGTAGTATTTTCTGTTTGCTAGTTCCGAGAAGTATATTTCAAGTGATCGTTTGCAGGAAGAAGCGATATATCCATTTCATGGGTATATATTTGTAGCAAAAAGGCAGGTACCAATTCATCTGCCTCACAGTTACCTGGTATATCTCTAGAAATCAAGAGTACAAAAACCCTCTAAAAGATTAACTAGTTTTAAATTTGGAACAAGTTTTTTGTGAAAGTGCGAACTCAAGATTTGAGACATAAATGTTCAAATTATCCATTGCAGACTGTAATTCTTTGGGCTCTCAATTAGCTTCAAATTTATTGGCGTGTTATGCAAAATAGCAAGGAAAACTTTTTTTGTGAGAAATAACTTAATTGCTATAAATTCTGATTGCCATATAAATATCAAAATCATACGTCATGCATACCAAAAGCCTTTGTTGCAACAATTTAGTTAAAAAATAAAATATTTCACCCTCAAAGCAAGCGTGAGCACCCCAAAAACATATTCATAACCACCTCACTTTCATTCATTTACTTTTACCTTACAAAGGCAGATTAAAATCAGCAACAGACTAAGTAATAGCACACTAAGCTATATGAGTACATGTTTGTAAGTATGTACATAAACATCCACAATAAGTCAAAAAAGCTAAGTCTGTCGAGGAGCTTCCTTCATTCATATTACTACACCTGCACATATTTGCTACATATAGGAAAAATAAACGGTAGGAAAAATAAAGGTAAAAAAAGTATAAAGTCGCAGAGTAGAATTCTTTCAACAGTCATTGAGAAAAATAACTGTGTTATATAGAATGAGAATAGATATAAACTAGTCAGATCTTGGCCTTAACCCACCGACGATTGTACCAGAGATGAGCGAGGAAAACAGGAAACTAAACAAATTCATTTAGTATTTTCCTACAGGGTATTTAGCATAAATTTGTATTTGGTTGTGAGTCCATAAGTGTGTCTGACATATTGGTCTACTCCCAACTTTGGGTAATATTGTCCTTAAACTGTCTGTACAGTATGTAGTGGACATTGTACAACGTCTATTGTCGCTTTCACTAAACCCTACAGCACTTAAAGGCGCTCGTTGGGTTGATACGAATACAAAACAGCCACCCATCCACCAACCCAAAAACAATGTATTCACCCCCTTCCACATGTTGTTTTGCGTGGGCAGTTATTACAGTTCTTAAATTACAATGACTAACCAGAAAGTCAACCACCGCTTACTTAGTAAAATGTGTACTTTTAAGTAGAGAAATTGACGTGTCTATTCCTGGATTTTACGCTACTTGGCTTTCGTGCGCATTCATGGATTGGCAAACTTGCTTTTATGTATATATCCTCTAGAATATAATGTATTTTTATGGTTCGTTCCTGAAATGTTTTGAAGTGCCCAACGAATTTTGGCCGGTTAATTTCTAATGAAAATAAATTGATGATTGTTTAGCTAATGTATGCCTGTAAGACGGCTATAGGCAAAAAATGGGGAATAAAGCCACATATAGTACACTGGATGTGTACAGCTGTGATAAGATCGATTATTTTCTATGCGGTCGCCGTATGGTGGCCTGCGCTAAACAATACCTTGTCCAAGCTGAAACGAGCGCAGCGGGCGGCTGCCGAGCTCGTCAGGGGAGCACTGCCCACTACACCCAATAAATCTCTGGAAATAATGAAAAATCTTTCACCTGTGGATCCCAACGACAAATTTCGGGCCGGCTGCAGTGCGACCAGGTTAAATACAATCCAGCTGTGGAGAGATCCTCATATCTGTGCACGCAAAAGTACTTGAAACTCTACCGTATAATCTACGACAGATAGATTATGCGAGTCCTCTACTCTGTTTAGACAATAAATGCCCCACAAGAACCCCAGAGAGGAACGAGTGCGAAAGGGCCACAGATCTGAACCCAGAATGTCTACGGCTATATATACAGATGGTTTCAAGCTTAACAACGGCCTATTGCTAACTATTCTGACAGCTAGGTTGCTATCAAATCTCTCAATTCTAACGGAACAACGTCCAGAGTAGCCATAAACTGTTGTATGGGGCCCTGGATATAGGGACATTCCTCTTAACTGCCTCACCGACGAGCTGGCAAGGACGGGGACGGAAATATCTGAAGTCAATTCTGCTTGGAATGCGGGCATACCTCTAACCTCCTCAAACACAGACAAAGGCGGAACTTGTCCATGAGGTAAATATAAGGTGGGCTGTGGAAATCACCTGCCATACTACCAGGCAAATTTGGCCAAAGATTGATGTAAAGCGATCCATAGCTCTTAGCTGGCTGGACCGTTCCTCTCTCATATTAGTAGTCGGGGTAATCACCAGACACTTCCTGATTGGCACACACGGAAAGGTTAGGATACCCCACCAACGATTTTTGTAGCAATTGCAGAGACGAGGAAGAGGGGGAGACCATCGAACACAATGCCTCAGCAAGTGCTTTCTAGATTATTTATCCGCTTTGAACTCGGCGAACGTTCTCGTCTTTTTGTGCTATATAAAACGCACTCGGTGGTTCAATTACTAGGGGAGGGAAAGAAACAAATGGCTTCGACCAGTGGTATCACGACGGCTTTTTCCGACACACGTGTGCTTCGTGCTCTGCGCAGGGCAGCCATTCTAACCTAACCAACCTTAGCTGAGGCAGAGCGGGACCAGGTTTAGAGCTGTGGAAGTAGAGAATGTAGGGATTACCTTTAGTTACGAGCGTATTTATTTAGAGTGCGGGTAGGTGTGCTTAGCCAATGGCTACCCTAAAGGTGCCACCTCTGCGTGAGTGCAAGCAGAGCCTGAAAAAGGGAATAGGAATACCACCCACATCCCTAAAATGTAGTACTGAGAGTTTTTGAATACTATGGATGCTTATGAAAAGGGGATACTTTTGATGCCATTTAGAATACTGTATGTACTAATTCAACTAACAATTCCGCCTGGCTGTAATATGGGCTATATATGGTTGAGAAAACAGGGTTAAAAAGTTTTCTAGGAACTAGTGAGATTAAAAAAAGGCTGTATTGTGAATAAACACGGATTTCATTTAGCTTATGCGGGTACTCGTATTACCCATTACTATGCAATTATTCGCCACAAACGAGTTGCCCTTATTATTACGAGCTTTTCCAATAACTGATTCCTCACTGACTGCACTTTCTTTACACGCCACTATTACATGCCGGTCAGCTGCACCATAGTTTGACAGTTGGTGAGAGTTTGCGCTCATAACTGTGTAACCCTCTATTTCTTCTTCTTCTTATTTCTACTCTCTCTTTCTTTATTCCTCTCGCTATCATTTCTTAAGACATTTTCATGCCTGCTTTTCCGTTTTGACCCTTGAGCAGTGTGACTTTTACACGCAATACGCTCTCAATTATATACGTATGCATGCTCGAAACTCTCGCTCTCCCAAATAACGCATCGGCTGAATGCTTGTTGTATGTATGACGGAATGTGCTATATACGGAAGCTTTACTAAAGCACACCTGAGTTCTGAGAAGGCTCAACCACATCAACAGTAGCAGCAGCAGCAACGGCAACATAACTACATGCTAGTGGCAAGTGAATTGTTGGCAGTGAAATGTGAGAGCGCCACTGGAGCTAATGGAGAAAAGAGCAGCAACAGTGGCAGCAATGGCAACGAGGATGCCAGTCTTGTAGTTGCACACACAAAAAATACATTTTTGACACTTGTGTTATTTCGTGACACACAAATCAATTTCGTCGTCGTCGTCGTTCGGTCGGTGGTGTATTACGTGAATTTTTCCAAGCTTACCGATTTTACTGAGTAGGAAAAAATTGTGAAAAATTTTGCTAAAAATGGCTTTGCGGTGCCAGATAATTGTTACTAAAACGAGAAAGATTTCGCATACAAAAGTGTAAATGCGTTGATGAAGTTTTTGAAAGGATATTAACTCGAGCTGTGCTACTTTAAGTTGTGCCTTCGTAGCAAATGGGAAAAAGTGATTCAAGCTTATGGCAGTAGTGACACAATTTTCACGCACACATCGACATAAACAGTTTATTGCAAATTGCTATATAAAAACCGGACTTTTTTGGGTCTCCATCGACCGCAAACGGAAGTCGGAAGCGGAAGTTGCTAGCGAATTAGTGTTTTTCGTTTTTTGTCTTATAAAAGAGTTGCATGTCTCGGTAGAGGGCTGGAGGGTTAGGCGGCTGTCAAGTGGCATTAGAGGTGTCGTTAAGTACCTTAAGCTGCTAATAGAGGTAGGTCTTAGTTCCACACATACATATGTACATACATACAAACATCTGTATGTAGCTCTTTCACTTGCCACCTTGCGAATTACTCTACAAAAACTATGTAGTTGCAGCCAATATATTCATATATACATGCATACATACATATGTACACCCAGTGACCTGCTACTTTGCTTTACGCTCGCCATTCGGTGCCTCATATATATGTTTATACATACAGGAAAAAGCATGCGAGAGCGACAACTTACACTCACACACACTTACCTCTCCCCGCTTACACGCTAGTTAAGGGCCAACGGGCAAATGTGGTTGCTCATACCACCCAGCGTACCACCGCTGCTTTGCTAATCGATTTTGTTTCCGGCATTTTTCACGTGGTCTCACAGCCATTACTCTGCCTACCGTCACTGCTTTTACTCACTCGGTAGGCCAAGAAGTATATACTCGCTGTTGTTGTTGTTTGTGTGCTTCTGCTTTTTCCTTTACGCTTGCAGGCTTCGTCGTTGGTATGTGTCTCTTTTCTGTGGTCGTAGTAAGCGCTGCTTCTCGTTGCTTGCCGCCGCCGCCGCCTTTCCTTCCTCATGCGAATTGCTTTGTTTTCGTTCTGTGGTGCTGCTAGTAAGCGTTGTTGGCTTGGCGTGTGTCAGCTGTATAACGATTTTTCCCCGAAAACGCATAGCGAGTGTTGGGATTAGGTTTAACATCGCTCGAGTGGCCAAAGTGTTGTAGCGTAGTGACCAGTTTACTGCCATTTCGATGGCTTCTTGACTCCACGCCACAACCAGCTGCTGCTGCTGTTGGCTCAAGCCGCGCTGTCGGTGATTTGGAGAAATTCTCGACTCATCTGCAGTGTACGTGTGTGTGTGTGTGTGTGTGTGTGTGTGGGCGGCTAGCTGGCTGACGCTCTTAGTGTTCAAAAGGGGGCCTGTCGGCCTCTGCGAGTTAGTCGTAGCGCATTTTCCTGCTGCATGCTGTGCGTCTTTGTTGTTGCTGCTGGTCTGAGCCTGGTCTGCTTTTTGCTGTGGGCATTGTTGTTGGAGCAGTATATCTGCGTTTTGACCTATCGACCGGATTTTTGTTGCTGGTGCGTGCCACAAAAAAAGCGTGTGTGCATATTTGTGTCAGTGTATGAGTGAATTTGAGTAGAAAAATAGTAATACTGAATGCCTTCAACCCAGTTTGGTGAAAAATAAGTAATAGAATAATAATAAAATAAGTAATAATAAAAGTGTGGCAGCAGTGGAAAAGCAATAAAGCAAGATGACAGCAGCATTCTAAATCTATCAATTTAAAGTTTCCAAACCGTGTATGAAATTAAATACTTTTTTTTTCTATTTTGTGTGGTGCTCGTTGAGGTGCTTTTTACCCTTCTTTTTAGCAACGAAGACTCTCTACATGCAAATTACATAATATGAACCCTACAAGACAGCTGAGTATCATATGAGTACTCATATTATCATTATCCCTAATCACAAAAGTGCTTATCAAAGTCCTCATTTTCGTTCAGGCCATGGGAAAAAATTGAGTACTTTCCCCTCAATGTTGTCATCAGAAAGTCCTCAGTACTAATAGTCAAACTACTCATTTATGCCGTACTACAAAAACAAAATTGTAAATGTGTTAGAATTTTTGCCTAAAGTGCTCAGCAATGTCTTGTAGGGAAGTGCGCCTACTATATGTGAGTGTGTGTGTGTGTGTGTTTATATATATTTGTGTGCATATGCAGCCACAATCTCATTTGTATTTGTGCCTCAGCGCACAGCTGACTGGCTGGCTGACTGCCTGCCACACAGTCTGCCTCAAGTGACCGCCTGTCTGACTTTGCACGTCTGGCAGCGCTCTCCAAACAAAAACAAAAAAAGGACTTGAAAGTGCAATTGGCATTAAAAAATAGCATACAGTTGCAGAAGTTAGTGCAACGTGACAGGTGCTACGGCAATACCGCATCGTGCGGGATGCTTAAAACGAACGGATTTTTTTCTAATATGTCGGTATCATACTGTTTTGACGCAACGCTCCGCGCGGTCAGTCTAAAGAGTTCACGCGAAAAACGGACGGCGAAGAAATTAGGATTTGGATGTTTTAAGAATGAGCAGGTAATTTGCTTAGGTGGAGCGGGTTGAGGAAAAAACTGATGCATCTAGGAAGTTCGGACTCAGGAGAGAATGAATTGCTTTTATAGTTAAACAAGTCAGATTTCGACTTAGTCTTTCGCACATCGGCGCATTTTAAATATATATTTATTTTTGCTTTGGAAGTTCAGTTGATTGTACTAAGCTCCCCTTGGATATCTTTTGAAAACACGATATATTTTTTACTTTCTGCACACTTGTTTTCGTACTTAGAATTAAATCAAATTGGCATTTGCTCAACGAAGTTTTGAAAATTTTAATATAATTTAAAAATTTTTTTTAATATATAAGACTTTTTCAAGCATTTTTAAATATATATTTTTTGCTTTTGGAAATTCAGTTGTTTATACTAAGCCCCCCTTGGATATCTTTTGAAAACACTGAATATTTTTTATTTTCTGCAAACTTTTTTTTCGCACTTAGAATTCAATCAAATTGGCATTTGCCATAAGATCAACGAAGTTTTGAAAATTTTAATATAATTTTATACAACCTTTTTTACCTTTTCCTTGTTTTTTTATTTTTAATTTATGAAAAAATTAAATTTGTTTAGTCCACTGCTAATTTCAACAAATGTAATGTGCAAAATGTATTTTTTTCATCACCCCCTGCACAAATTGCCCTGAAAACAATATTTTTTAGGTTTATTATATGGAAATATATAAACATGAAAATTGTTTTTTTTTTTTTTAAATAAATATTAAGTGATTTCAATAGAGGATCAAAATAATTACATATAAAAATTAAAAAAATATTTAAAATGCAAAAAACTTTAAAAATAAAAATTGCATGTTAAAACCCCTAAACACCCACATTCATGAAATATAAAGAATACTCAAACTGGTTTATAAATCGAAATTGTTTATGAAAATTTCACTTTATAAAGCTGAAATATATGCACAGATTTCAATGATTAATGTATAATATTTGAAATAAATATTTATTTAAATTGTATAATAAACTAAAAAATACCTACATGCATTTCAACAATGTCCTTTTTTATTATTAAAAATATTCAAAACAAAAAATCAAAACTGTTTAACAAATTTTTCTTTGCTTTCATTTACAGATGTAACCGGAAAATTAAGCCGCAGTTAATTCGACGTGAAAATCGAAAAAAATTAACATATTTCAGCCAAAATCAAATAGCACTCTGATTTATTTCTGTTTGAGTTTTAAATGTTACGAACTCGATACTTTACTCGCTAATTCTAACAACGAAATTTTATAAGTTAATCGAAAAAATACATATTGATGCAAGTTAATAAAAATAAACGTGGAAGAAATTTTGAGAGAATAGACTCAAAAAATAAATCTCGAAATATATTAAATTAAATTCTCTAAACACAAAACAACGAGAATCACGAAAATATATACCAAATTAATGCGAACAAATTTTACGAAAAATTTGCTGCGCTGAGCGAAATTAGTTAAATGTGAGTGAAATTTTCTAAGAAAAAATATTAGCGGTAATATAACAAAAAATTAATACAAGTTTTTCAGCGCCCACAATTTTTCATGTGGCAGTGGCAGTATATCCCCAAAGGGTATCAAAATCATGCACAGATATGCTTAGATACCGAGAAAAATTGCTTTGAGGCACAAATTAAAATAAAGTGCTTTCCCTAAGTAATAAAAAAAATAACAAGACGCAAAAAACAAAACCTATTACAAAAGTGTTCAAACGGTCTTTAACATTATGTATTGCTTAAAGTAAGGATGGAATTTAAAAACATATTTATATAAAGGACGCCAGAAAAGCTTAAGATTTAAAAAATTAAAAATGTGTGCGAAAATCGAATTACCTTTTGTTAGGTAAATATTAAAAATAAAATAAGAATAATAAACAAATTTCGACTCCAAACACCATTAAAGTTTTACTATTAGCCAACGCTATTTTCAAAAAATATTGTAAGCATATGAAAAAATATTTAAAGGCACACTAAAAATTATATTCGAAAATAGTTTAACACAGGTTAAACAATCCAAAAACAAAGTAATTGAAAAAAGTTTCGATTAAAACAACAAAAGTATTGGATACTAATGCAAATTTAAAATAAATTCAATACTACAAATATTTCGCTGTTTTGTGGACTTCATCAATGGTCGCTTCTCGTCGTAAAGCGTAGCCGAATGCGAATCTTAATTACATGCAAAATAAATGGGTACAATGAGGCCAAATAAATACGATGTGAGTACTAAATTAATAAAAAATTTATAGAAAAGAAACTGTGTCTAGGCTTTTTCTTATGCCAACATGTATGTATGTACATATGTACATACGTACGTAATTTCTTCAAAAAAAATTCTCAAGTAATATGATGCAAAAAAATTTCTCATTTATTTTATTCATATGCACATTTCTTACGAATCAAAATAAATACGAGTAATAGTTATTACAAATAATTTATTTTTACTAAGTGTCATCTCCATGTTGTTTGTGTGTGCGCCACTTGGATTGTCTTCGAAATGTTTAGTAATTAAAATAACAAATGACAGTTGAATGAGTAGTCACAGCCACATGGCAATTCCGACATACATATGTAGCTACATACAGCGGAACTTCGATATAACGAACCTTGACACACCGAAAATGTCAATATAAAAAGTGTGGAAATATTCGGAATATATTGACGGTTAAAGTTCCGTTAGCAAAAACCTCTATATAACGAAATTTTGTCTAAACCCTCTATGTAGCGAATTCGGAATATGTTGACGATTAGCGCTCCGCTATAGAAAGAATTAAACTATACTTATAACGAACTTTTCCAAAAATGTTGCATTTATCGTTATATCGAGGTTTCCCTGTACATACGTACATATATACACCAACATATATTCAGGTCACTGAACCCGATGCAATGAATATTTTTATATGAGCGTATTATAGAGAATGTGTATAAACAATGTTTGGCGAATTTATTGACAAATGTCTTGCTTTCATACTCATGTTGTTTTGCAATAAAACAATAATGTGCGAATTTAAGACATAGCAATTACTGAAAGGGGCAATTCAATGATAAATGTAGTGACTCATCGTCTGGAGTATTGGGAAGTTGAGGTCCGGTCCAACTTCTCCCTAAATTTGAGACAAGCAACTTGATTTTTGGTGACACAGTTACCTGTATATCGTTACTTTAATTCAAAAAGGCCTTAACCAACACTTTTTTCGAAACTACATTTTTTAAGAAATTTTTGTAAGATATACATATATGTATTAAGATACACCTTCACTAAAATTTTGAAAGTCTTGGTACCAAAAACAATGGAGCTATGCCACTTTTTAAAAAGCTCTAAATTTATATTCTGTTATAAGGGAGTGAGATGTTAAGATTGAAATAGGTGCCTCATACAATATAGAGGATGTAGAAATTCGGGGTTTACAATATCAAAGCTGAATTGCAGCGTCCGCAATCGAAAGTATGATCAAACCGGGTGGTTATCTTACTATCGAGAGCATATTTACTGACTGACAACGATAATAAAAATCCGTTTAAATACATCTAGAACATCCGTATATGCGGATAACCGAATGAATGGACATTAACCGGATATGCGGATTTTAACCGTAAACAAGAATATCCAAATAGACATCCGAATTAGAGATGGGCACGGGACTAAATATTTAATGCCGATCCCCCCCATCCCGAAATTCGATTTTTAGGTCCCGAACCCGGCCATTCCGACGTTTTTCGGAATTGTACCGTGGGTCCCATGGGTCCCGATATCTATCTCTAAAGCAGGCTACAAACGGACAACAGATTGAAATGATTGGTTGAGATTTGAACGTGTGTGGCGTGGTTTGCAAACCGACCGAAGGTTGACAAAAATATTTGTCTTTCAAATTAATTTTAAATAATAAAAATTATAATGAAAGATCTGGCATAACATTAAAAGTGTATATTTCAAACATCATTTTTAAGGAAGATTTTGAGAATTGGCGGGGGTTGCGGTTTTATCGGGAGTGTCGGGAAAGGATTTTGGTTTCGCCCCGTCCGCCATATTTTTGCAATCTTCCCGATACCGCCCATCCCGGCCAAGTTTAAATCAGTACCGTGGGTCCCGCGGGTACCGCTATCCCGTGCCCATCTCTAATCCGAATACCCCGAAAGTCCCAGTTCTAGTGTGTACGAGGCCTATGATTTTATAATGAAAATATGTTTACCTAGTATTATGGAAGGAATTTAGAAATTTTTTACATAAATAGTTGATTACTAATTGTAAATTCTGGGTAAATGCATTTAAAATGATTCTTGCCTAAATGAGGCAGGTTCATTAACTAATTCAAGGAATGTTTACTCTTTGTCACAAAATAAAAACTGTATTTAACTATGCAAATATGGGTATAACTTGTATTTCCAAAAAATTTCACTTAGACCCTTATGATTCTAACCCCTTCATATGGTGTGTAAGCAGTAAATCAACAATTTTCTAGGGGACAGACCCAGGTGAACCGGTTTCGTTGTACAATCCACCCAATAACATTAAGGGTATTATCTCAAGTCTTGAAAAACCTTTGCACGGTGTACGGATTGCACTGTTAAAAAATTTTCCCATGTACACTGGTTCGACCATCCAATATGTGCGCCTTGCAAGGTTTACTTATAGAATAATCCCACCTGAGGTTTGGTAAGCAACAGCCAGAAGAACTCAATTGCTCTTGGGGAATTGCATCAGCTTCCCGTTTTGATCAATTTTTTGAGTTAGACCAAAAGTTAACGAAACTGCTTTTGTTGTTAGGGTCTGATTGTTAGGAATTATAAGTTTATTGAAGAGAGCTCTGAAATAGATATTCTGGGCACGTTAGCGAGATTGGGATACTGAAATCGATTAAGTGAATATGCTGGAGATGTTATCGATAGAGACATTGATATCTGTGAACGTGCAAAAATAGTATCGATAAAAGAGGCGATAAATTTAAAAAAAAAAGTAGCGATAAAATATTTCTGTATAAAAAATTAAACAATTAAACTTCTTTTTCGAAATAATGCGTACTTCAGTACGAGACGTTCGTTTCAAAATGACATGGTTAACCAGTTTCACATCACGACCTCAAGAGTGTTAAACTCACTAAAATTCTTTTATTTATTCATATACATATATGTATGTGCATAGACATATGTTTGTGTTTTATTGAAATCAATGCCGTCTTACAACTTCCTCAATTTTCCATAATCAAATCTTTTTTCAAAAAACTCAACTAACAAGTATTAACTCCTGCTGACATTCTGCAGCTACCGCGTTTTAATCCGTTGGTACCGCTTTTAAACAGCATTCACATGTCAATACATTTATGTGCAAATGAAATATGGAAAATAAAATTCAAATAAACTCGAAACGGGTAAATTTTAGCTAAATCATAAATAAGTCATAATCTTGAATAGGTATTCGTTAAAATCACCGATATCAAAGGCACAAGTGTGCAAGCGAGCGTTCCAGCGTGTAGTTAGCTCAGCGTGCCCAAACACATGTCAAAGTCAATCTTATCTGCACACATTTTTTTTGAGTAAATATTTGGCTATGGAGCTGTCGTTGTGAAAATCGGGTTTTAAGTGCAATTATTTGGTGTTTAAAAACGTGGTAGCTCTAGCGCGTACGCGATGTAATGAAGACTACATACTTACATAGCAGCGTATTGCTGAAATATGAAATCGGCTAATTTATGCAGAAAATAAATTGAACAGAAATTGTAGTGGCAAACAGTTGGGCAACGAGCTATTTGTCCTCCGCTGAAGTGCGTAAATATGAAAAATAACGAAAACGAATTCTGCTTATCATCCACAAACAAACAAACACAAGTCGATTTTTGCAAGCATTGTAATCCGCTTAAACCGTAATTGCAAGCGCATAAAAATTTGACGAGAGTCGCTATGAGTTTGGCGCGCCTGCTTTATGGTTCTAAGCCGCTTAAGCGCAAGCGCAATTTATGGGGGAACCCTCAACGTTGAATGCTGTGCTCCAATGAACTACGCGAAGTGAGAAAATCAGAACTCTTGCGGCTAATGCCACTTACATGCTTGCTTAGGCGCTTAAGTGGCAGCTAGCTAATTGACTTATCATGCGTGTTGCGCAGGCGTATTTGCAGAACTGGTACAAGCAGTAGTCATTTCGCATACCTCCCCCCCCCCTAGCCCCAGCGCACATTCTTCCACTTTTTAATATTTTTTTTTTTTTTGCTGAACTGAAGCTCATATCCACTCTGAATTTACCGAAATGCCACACACGTTGTCGCTGCTGTCGCTGCCAACGTCTTCGTTGCAAATTATGAAAAATCATCTGCTCAGCTGCAATTAAAATTCCGCTGATTCAATAAATTCGCCGAGTTGATTGAGTTGGTGCTGCGCAGACTGCCACTCGCTGTGCACTTTTTCTACGTCAATCCAAAAAAAAAGTATGTATGTATAAACATTCTTGCGGCGCTTCCGAACCAATCGAACGCTCTTTTCTTGTGCTTTTTTCAATATTTATTTTAATTCTTACGATTTTTTATTCACCGTATTGATTTACATTTTTTCAAGGAATTCTCCATCTCATTTTGTGCCCCCAACTGGCCGGCGTCGCGTCGCGTTGCTCACTCGCTGCCGACATGCTCCAGCTGTCGAAATTGTTGCATGTGCGATCATCGCGATTGCGGCAGCGGCCAAGTACCTACGCTAGCGTTCAATAAACACCACAATAAAATAACAAAAAAGCAGCGCATAAAGTCGGTTGCAATGTCGTCCATGGCAGCGCTGATATCTTCATGAGCTCACCCCCCTCGACCGCTGCTGCTTGGCTCATGCACTCCAACACTCGTGCCTGGGTTGCCTAGATTACTTGCCTGGGTGCAAGCCAGCCGATCCGTTGCAATCCACCGCCGCTGCCTGTGTGTGATCTTGCCACTTGGCCCTTGGCTTCAATCAATTGCTACTGTGTGAACGCGAATTGTTGCTCCAGTTGCACTGTTGCTGCTAAAGCGGCTCCAGTGATGAATATTGTTGCTACCGCTCATGCCTTTGCCACCAGAGGACCGACCAGGCCAGTGGCGACTTATCTCGTCGCGGCAAAGCAATGGATTTTGTTGTGCTTTTTTATCAGATGCTATTTGTTTTTGCTGCTCATTTGTCTTTACTGTAGTGTGTGTGTGTTGTTTTTTTTTTTGCAATTGCTCTGGGTTATTTATGTTGTTGCACGTTATTGCCGCTTGCCGCT